CACTCAAAGTTTCCCTCCAAGCACTTCAAAGAACCAAGTGAACTAAATCAATTGTTTTACCGGGAATTCAAACAAACCGAATATTAATCGAAGACCACGAGACTCAAAGGATTTGAATAGGTGGAATAGATGAATGTTTTGACATGAATATGTGAATAGACTCAAAAGAAGAATGAAAGACTCGAACCCTATATATATATATATTGTGAACAATACTTCGAGAGGAACAGTACCTCGTATGTGCAGTAACCTTTTTTTTTCGTTTTTGTACTCTCTTTTTTTTATGAAAGAAGATGATTAAACCACCAACAACTAAACGAAACGACGAAAAGAAAAACAAGGATGAAGAAGAACTAAGAAAGAACGATTAAAATAGAAGAAGAAACTAAGAAAACAAAATTAACGACTCAACAAATAAAGAAAAGATATAACCTTCAATTAATTTGGAGCCAAAGCTCTGATATCAACTGATGCGAATCCCGTAGCAACATTGACTACGAAACCCACAACGAGATTGACGAACCCAAGCGAGTCAAATTAATCCAAAGTTTAGGATTAACCCAAAAGAAAGTCGAACCAAAAAATTCAACAAGAACGACGCTTGAAAGACCCCTTGATCGCGCAATCCAAGAATTAAATTCGGTTGTTTGAACGCCACAAGTAACACTTGATAAGTTCGAAATTATTCGATGAAGAACGATGAAGAGAAGACAATACGCCTCACTTTAATTCAATATCAATAATGTCAAAGGTTTTTAACAACTGAATGGAAACTCCTATTTATACTAAACCTAAAAACAAGGTAAAAATCGTGTAAAAGTCGAGCATAATCTCCAAAATATGGAAAAGAATCAAAATCTAACAAAATATGAAAAATTGGGAAAATTCTCCAAATTTTTGGCTTGTGCGGCCGCATGGTTCAAAAAAAATCCCAATTTAAGTTTCGGTATGTCACTGTGCGGTCGCACAGGCTTATTTTCAGCGTCCGATTTCGTCGCTTGATAACAAATTGATCCAAGTTGATTCAACCTTCGACCCGAACATGAAAGTTGCTCCATTTTGAGTCCCAAACATGGTTCCATCGATGGTTTCTTGAACAAGCAATCCCATCGCTTGTTTCACTTTTTTTCCTTGATCGCGTCATTGGTCCGCCATCGACTATCAATGGGTCTCGTCTCGTACTTGCCTTCGTCAGGCTCGACTCCTGGATCATATCACGATGTCTACCCCGAAAGCACCGCATTGGAAGGAAGCTATCAATAGCGAGATAAATTCTATAATGTAAAATCATACTTGGGAATTGGTAGATTTACCTCCCGGAAATAAGCCTTTAGAGTGTAAATGGATATTCAAAAAGAAATTGAAATCGGATGGATCCATTGACAAATATAAAGCTAGATTGGTTGCCAAAAAATATAATTAAAAAGAAGGATTTGATTTCTTTGATACCTACTCACCCGTAACGAGAATCACCTCAGGTTGCTAATTGCAATTGCGGCAATACATAACTTTGAGATTCATCAAATGGATGTAAAAATGACATTCCTAAACGGTGAGTTAGAAGAGGAGATATATATGAAACAACCTAAAGGGTTTGTGTCTCCAAATGAAAGTCATAAAGTATGTAAACTTGTTAAGTCCTTATATGGCTTAAAAAAAGCTCCTAAGCAATGACACCAAAAGTTTAACAAAATAATATTGTCAAATGGATTTAAAATAAATGAATGTGACAAGTGTGTATATGTGAAGAATACATCGACTGCCTATGCAATAGTATGTCTATATGTAGATGATATGTTGATAATGGGTAATAGTCACGAAATGTTGACAAACACCAAGAAAATGCTAACAAGACATTTTGACATGAAAGACATGGGTGTGGTAAATGTAATACTAGGGATAAAGATCTCTAGAACATCGAAAGGAATCGTACTTTCCCAATCTCATTACGTTGAGAAAATACTAAAGAAGTTTGAAGCATTTGAGGAAAGTTCTGCAAAGACTCCTATTGACACAAGTCTACAATTGGTCAAAACTAAGGGAGAAAGTGTGTCACAACTAAGATATTCACAAATAATTGACAGTCTAATGTATGTTACAAACTGCACTCGACAGGACATTGCGTTTGCGATGAATAAACTTAGTAAATTCACGAGTAATCCAAGCCATGATCATTGGGTGGCATTGATAAGAGTCCTTAGGTACTTGAAGTATTACATGACCTATGGATTACATTTCACAAAATATCCTGCGGTATTAGAAGGATATTGTGACGCGAATTGGATATCCGATATGAAGGATTCCAAATCCACAAGTAGCTATGTGTTTACACTTGGTGGAGCTGCTATCTCATGAAAATCTTCAAAGCAAACGTGTATAGCATGATCAATTATGGAATCAGAGTTTATTGCTTTAGACAAAGCTGGTGAAGAAGCAGAATGGCTTCGAAATTTCTAAGAAGATGTTCCATGTTGGTCTAAGCCGGTACCTGTCATAAGCATACACTGCGATAATCAATCGGCTATTGAAAGGGCTAAAAGCAGCATGTACAATGGTAAGTCTAGACATATACATCGAAGACATAATACCATTAAGTAACTGATCTCAATGGGCGCCATCTCCATAGATTATGTGAAATCAAAGGAGAATGTTGCGGATCCGCTTACGAAAGGTTTGCCAAGAGATTAAATACGTTGCCTATCGAGAGGAATGAGATTAAAGCCTACTAAATTAGAGTCCTTGTAATGGTAACCCTACCTTGTTGACTAAAGATCCCAAAATCTTGGTTCAAAGGGAAAACTAAGTTATGAGGATTTCATGAAGCGCTTAGAAAATAATTTCCTAACTTATTCCTATGATACCAAAGTACTTTCTGCAGAATTGGAAGAGGTTAAAATAATCTTTTAATGATTCCTATATCTTGATTAAATCAAGTGGAGTAGGGTAGAATACTCTTAATAGGAGGTCACCTATGTGAGTGTGAAGTGATGCCGCTTCAATGAGAATTATTCAAGGCTTAAATTCTCTAAAACACTTGCAGAACCAAGAGGGGTTCAGGGCCAAAATGAACCAAGTCATGAGAACCAAGAACGGAATTAGGGAAGATATTATGTGAGTATTGTTGTCTTGGCTTATACTAACGGCTGGTCGGTTCAAGACATCATGTTCACCAACTAGCCAAGTAAGCTCGATAATATTTCACTAAGGAAAGTTCAAAGCCGGAAGCTACCTTGCCCGATGTAATATTTATCCGCTCTCTCTCTACAATTGCATGTATCGTGTCGCATATCATTTGCATAGTCAAACTTCCATTCATGTAGGGGATTGTTGGAAATTGGTTTCCAAATTAACTTGAAAGATCGGAAATTGGTTAAGTAAAAATTGAAATCGGAAAGTGTGACTAACGTGTCAACTTCGGCTGAATATTCGTATTTGATCCGATGGTCAAATTACAAAAGTAAAAAGGCCAACTTGTTCTACTCATTGAGTAGATGATCATAGTATATTTGGACATTAGAAACCAATTCTAGGTGAATGAGAAATTACGGTCCAAAGATTGGAAGAAAGTACGGTGGAAAAGGGCTAAAATACACTGTCGCTCGATGTTCGCTCGAACGGTAGTGTCACCGTCGCTCGATGTTCGCTCGAGCGACAGTCTCGCTCGCACGAGCGAAAAGCTAGCGAAGATGGAATGTTGCAACTATTCGAAAGAATCCACGATTTGGCCCACACCACTTCATCCACACCCCTTCCTCCTCTATAAATAGGACCCCTTGGATGTTCCTAAGGGAACACCAACTCATATTTTACATTGAGCACTCGTCTTCTCTTGCAAAATCTCTCTCCCTTTTTTCTTGCCTAAAATCCCTTTGTAGAGGTGGAAATTCCGTCAATTCGCCGGTTCTTGTGGTGTGAAGTGCTGCTACTACAAGATTAAACATCCGTTGTATCTTGGGAGACAAGTGTCGTCAACCATGAGCACCATAGCGGGGCAATATTATCTTAAAGAGAAAGTGCCATCACTTGCCTCGAATTTCATTTCTTTTTCTTCTCCTTTTCTTTTTTCATTTTGATATCTTGATTTTGTGATTTTGTACTACACTTTCAAGTTCACATATCGATAGTTTGATCACGCTCCTGGGGGTTAAACATTAATTTATTTTGATACAAACATCAACAACAATCATACCGCTCACATAAACCCCAGAACCAACACTGCCAATAGGAGTTCGCTAGGAGGCCGAGAAACTATATTATTAACCGTAGTTTTCTTAGTAGATATTCAATTTAAGTTATTTCAATTTCATAACATGGTCCTACAATTAATTTGTATATTACTCATTAGAACCAATGTCCATTAATATTTCTCACTACTCTCTTTATGTGCACTTAAGGTACTTAAGCCAATTAAAGATATCGCGAGACATAAAGAAATGCTAAGGAGAGGAAGAATTTGCTTATACTAAATAAAATTCATCAAAAAAACTATACAAGTGATTGGTATACTTTTTCCATGAATAACTTCATGATGATGGCAACAATCATAGTAATGACAATGCTATCCCGTCTTTATAATGCATATGTAGATTTAGAATCTATTGGCTGGTCAAATGGGTCATTTCTTGCTTGAAAGAGCTTTTCATTTTTAGTTCCTAACTCTTGACATTCTAAAAGTCAAATCAGTAGTTGCTTTGGTAGAATTAAGTTTATCGAAAGCAAGTAAACAATTTCGCAGAGTGGATTTGCATATTCTCTTTTGTGTGTGGGGTTCCAGTACTAATTAAAGGAGTTTAAAAGTTGATTTACGTATGGAAGTTCTCCCCTTGATTGTACCTATTGTTTTCAATCCTCGTGTGAATATTCAATCTCTATTTAAAATTGAAGATACCTTATTCGTGGGAAACAGTAAGTGGAAATTAAGGTAAATGTCATAACTTGTCCCTATGCTCTAGTGGGTGGTCGACATTTAAATTGAACAGTCTACTGTGTGCTTTGGCTAGGAAATTCTTGGACTAAAACAAATTTACGAAGGGAAATACAAGTTTTATTGCTTCACGTAGGGTGACAGGGAAAGTCACGCACTAACCCAACAAGTGCCATCTACAAATTTTATTCCCGCGTCAACATCGAATGTTTTGTTCAAATATCCCGGTGAGTATACGATTTCCAATGTGTATTTACATGTTCCTAAATGTGTATTTAGCATATGTCCAAATTTTTCATGTTTATGTTAGGGAATACAATGTTATTGTCCCGATTTGTCGTACAATGTTGGAACACAATTGGGAATGACATCGTTCACAATTGATGTTTTTCCTCTTGGATTTCATGGTGTAAGTGGTGTAATTTTTCTCCTTACAAACAGTTAATTTCATATGATTCTCCAATGTACTTGCAATAATAATATGTTAAACCTCATTTCAGACATTGTCTTCACCAACTAACATAGCAGATTGGATGTCCAGTCCCCCCCCATACCATTCCACATGCTGCTATTGCTGGAGGTCGTTCTACTCTTGTTCAGAATCTGAGTTCACGAATGGCTCATCAAGATCCTGCAAGTGATATTGCAATGAAATCTCAAGATGCTGGTTTATCAAGGGGACTACTATTTAATTCCTGCAATGTAACTCAATAGGCTAGTAAATGATTTTATTTTTTTTCAAAATTTGTTGTCAACGAATGGTATTTTCTTGTAGATGTTTTTTCTTTTGGTTTTTGAAGAAAGTGTACTTGTGTGGTTATTAATTTGTAGAATTAGATGCTGCTGGTGCTATCTTGCTATTGTCGTTTAAACAACATTGACAAATGTTGGAGGATTTATTTGTAAAATTTCCTTCAGTGCAAATGTAACTGTTAATTTCCTAGTAGAGTTACTTGATTTTCCATTTTTAAATGTCCCCAGGCATAATGGATTACATGCTATTGTTCTAGTATTACATTTTGTAGATTATGCTCACATATCATGTATTGGTGCTATCCTGCTGTAGTCTTCATCTTGTTTTACCAGTGAATCTCTTTTTTGGCCCAATTAATAGAGACAAAAATTGCATTGAAGGTAATGACAAAAATTACCAATTCAATAATTGGGTAATGACAAGTTATAGGTACAGAAAATAATGCACCATAAATATAAAAGATGAACCTGAAATGGGAACACTGAGAGTTGACATAATTGGCTGGAAGAAATAGAAAAGTACTTCATTAAGATTACTAACAAAATACAAGAGAGTTGACACCTTGAGAAGCTATTTGAACATCAATACAATTTTTTCCAAGATCAGATTACATATAACTACCAGCATATCATACATAAACACTTGAACAACAATTCGAAAGAGTCTTTTTCGTCATACACTGTCCTAAACCATCCTAATACACGACATATTTAGTTTTCATTCTCCAAATCTTGTTTCCCTTTGCGTATATTTATTTTGAGCAAGATCTTCACGTCTTTTTGGTCAGTTAGCTTAGCGAGCGTCTTTAACATTTACGACAAATCATTCACCTATTCGCCTCCATTTCTGATGCCACTTGATTCACCATCAACATGCAATGGACACTTTTCGTCAGGAGATTTGTTACACCACTTGAAGTACCTAGAGTCGCAAGTGCAACAATGGAACAATAGCCCTTTATGGTCATTGCTCTTTTCAATCTCCATCCATTTGATGAAACCCAGACCACAATTTGGACAGCTTCTCTTTCTCGGGCATTCTGGCAGCATATGTCCCCTTTGTCTACATCATGTTCCCTGATTCTTGCTTGCCATCGACCTAGTCTACTTCAACCACATCGAACAACCACATCAACATGAAACCATATCATTCTCACAAAACATGCATTTTCTTTGAACCATAGTAAACAGACATTCCCACATCAACCACATTAAACAACCTGCTTCGAATTTAAAACAGCACTATAGCATTTTCTTTTATCTAGCAACACAGGAAATTGTGAATACACCTCCTTCACGTGATTGTGTAATGTATGCAGAAACAAAAATCTTATATCAAAATATTCTGATTACAATGCCATAAAGAAATATGCACCTACATTGGAATAAGGAACCATCTACAGTAAATCTGAAGCATAATTATTCAAATCAGAAATTCGAAATTATTTCTCGCACTCAGTAAATCTGAAGCAGAATTGAATGAGCCCAGCATTGTCAAACAAGGTTTTTGAAACTTTTTGAATACTATAGGAATTATTTGTCCAGATTTCTCTTTGATTTATGGATAAATTCTTGTGGCTTCAAGTTTTTTCTTGAGTTTGTTGTTTAACAACTTTTTCTCTCTTTGGTCTCTAATTATGTGACACTAATTTTAATGGAAGATTCAACACAAGGAAATGACAAGGTTCAGGGAAGAGGTATCGAAAAATATGAGAAATGGACGTGGAAAGAAAGCAATGAGCTTTTAGAACTCATGGTTGATGCTGCCACGCGTGGTTGGCATGATAGTAATGGTGTGTTAAGCAAAATAACTGTAGAAAAATATATACTTCATCATCTTAACCAAAAAACTTGGGGTTGAAAAGACCTAGGCCCAATATAAAAATCGTGTGAAATGGTTTAAAAAACAGTACAACAAGTATTCTAAGCTTATGCGTCATAACTCTGGGTTCGGATGAATCATGTGACGAAGAAATCCACTGCTAGTGATGAAGTATGGGACGATTATTGTATGGTGAACTTCATTTATTGCTTAATTTAGAAAAATATGAAATTTGAGTTATTGGTTAGTGATATGTATGTTTCATATATTAGCACTTATAATTATTTTTTCTTTAATAGTCTCATCCCGAAGATAAAAGTTATCGAACAGACACTTTTCCAGACTATGAAGATTTGAGAATTGCAGTTGGAAGTGGGACAGCTATTGGAACACACTCAATTGCATTACGGGATGATACTGATGCAAGAACATGTTATACTAAAGAAAGAAGAGTTAGTGACGGTTTAATAGACGACTTCATGTATGATCCTGATACAGAAGCATTTATAGTAACCGATAAACAAGATCCTATAAGTTCAGAGGTTTTCCAATCAATTCGAAAACGAAGTAGAACAGAATTTGAAGCAAAATCTACTTCATTTGAGCCTAAAAGTACTCAATTGGACATCATAGACAAACTTGCTAGTACAGTTGACAAGATCACCCAAGCAATTGAATCAATTGACACTAGAGAGCCTAATTGTTGGAACATTATCAAGGAGATCCCAAACTTGGATGATAATGATCGTTTCAAGTTCCTTGATTTGCTTAATACAAAAGCAAAAAAGTATGAGTTCTTGAGCATGACACCAGAAGAACTTTCTAAATGGATAACATTTAAATTAAATTGAAGCTTTGTTTTTTGGACATGATTGGTAGTAATTTTTGAAGTTTTTGAATTGTTCTTAGATTTATTCATTGACTGCATTTTTTGATATTTTATTAATTTGATAATAATTGATTCGTTTTTACATGACATTATCGTTTTCTTTGTCTATGTATTTAATTTTTGTTCCTTCTATTTTTAGGTACTTCCATATATATAATGTCTAATGTTAGCATACATGAAGATCATGAAAAACAGGTGGATGAGATAGAAGAAGATGACTATAAGGAAGCATTATATGAAACCATTCGGTACTTATGGATGACAATTCAAGCAATTCTCTACGTGATAAATGATTATATAAATAATATTTGTAGTGCACGTATTACACGTTCACTAACTAGGCGATCAAAAACTAGATATGGATATTACTACATACATAAAATCTTAAAGGAAGATCTAGAAAACTTTTGACAAGTTTATAGAATGTATCCGGATATATTTTTAAAATTAAGCATTATCATTAGAGAAAAAGGGCTCTTACAGGATACTAGGTATATTTGTATTGAAGAAACACTTGCAACGTTCCTACTCATTGTTGGTCAAAATACTCAATATTGCTTGATTCGTCAAAAATTTGGTCGATCGCATTTCACTACCAGTCGAAGTTTCAACAAGATTTTACAGACATTAATCGGGATTCATTGTGCCAGAAAAAATAAGGGAAAGTACAAGATTTTACCCTTACTTTAAAGTGAGTGATGAAATAACATTTATTATAATTTTTGTATTGTTTTATTAATAGTGTTCTCATGATATTTTTGTATTGTTTTAATATTTTTAGGATTATATTGGAGCCATTGATGGTACCCATATTCCAGCAATGATAACTGGACGTGATACAAGCAGTTATAGAAATCATCATGGAACAATTTCTCAAAATATTTTGGTCGCTTGTAACTTTGATTTGGAATTTACATATGTGATTAGTGGGTGGGAGGAATAAGCACGTAATTCTAAAGTGTTGAATGATGCTTTAACAAGGAGAAATGAACTTAAAGTGCCATAAGGTATTACTTTATTATTTTTTTTTATTTTTTTTGTAATTATTGTATCATTATTACTTGTTAATTTTACAAGTATATTATGTTGAAGTAGATATTTTTTGGGAGACTGTGGATTTCCAAATCGACGTCAATTTTTGATTCCTTTTCGAGGTGTCCGTTATCATCTTCAAGATTTTGTTGGTCAAGGTCGTGACCCTGAAAATACAAAAGAATTGTTTAACCTTCGTCATGCTTCATTGAGGAACGTAGTTGAGAGAATATTTGGTATATTTAAATCAAGATTCACAATTTTTAAAATAGCTCCTCCATTTCCATATCGTACACAAGCGGAACTCATATTAGCTTGTGTAGGATTACACAATTTTCTCCGTAAAGAATGTTATTCCGATGAATTTCTAATTGAACTTGATAACAAAGATTCGTCACCTTTTTTGATTAATGAGGGGGAAGACTTTGGACCATTTTTTTAGAGTTAAGAACCAGAAAGAGAGAATGCTAATGCATGAAGGGCTTCTCTAACAGCAGACATATGGAATGATGTTGGAAATGTTTGCAATTTTTTTCTGTTGATCATTACTAAAATACCATTTTTTTTTGATAGATTTAATTCAGTTTATGAAATTTCGAATGAATTAGAGCTTAAAATTTTAATTTAATATTTTCGCATCAATATGATCTATGAAATGATATCGGTAGCACCTCAAATTTTAAATCAATAAAATTTAGGACATTACATATGCTATCTTTTATTCGACGTTCGTTTTTATTTATTTATAATGTGAATTTTTAATTGGACAAATTTGGCCTTTGTTTGGGCTCTATTTTAATGAGGTTGTAGAGAAAAATGTATTTTGATAAAATGATTTTTTGGAGAATGTTTGATTAAAAAATAAGAAAAGGTTTTGAGTTAACATAAAATATTATTTTTTTGAAAAATGCTTAGTTAAAAATAAGAAAGAGAAAAACGCATTAAACCCTATATGAGACCCTTTTTGGGGTCAAAATATAATTTGAAATAGTATTTTATTAAAGAATATGTATCTAAAAAATAAGAGAAACTTTCGAATTTATGTGTAAAATTATTTTATGAAATAATTTACGATTAAAAATAATTTTTTTGTAGAAATGAGGGCCAAATATAAGCAAAATTAAAATGGAGCCCAAACTAGAGCTTTAAAGCTTGTTTGAGCTACATTATATTCAAAAAATACTATCTTCAACAATGATTTGACATAATTTCAACCTCACATTCTTCAATAAAATAATATTACACGTAAATCTAAAATTTTTCATTATTTTTTAACGACACATTTTCCATTAATTTGACATGAATAATACATTTTTCTCATAGAATGTGGTTCAAACATGGACTTAAGGCCTGTTTGATTCGCCATGAATTTCATGGAAAGTGGACTTTCTAGCTTTATCATTTTTTAATGGCACATATTTACCATGGAATTGGTATTCCTTGTTTCCAGCCCACGCGCCAATTTTCCTTGTTTTTCATGGAATTCCAATTCTTATGGGTTTGGTAAGAATTGGAATTCTAAGAAATTTATTTATTTATTTTTTTTTTTTTGCAATTGAAGCAAATTCTAAGAATTATTGTAAAAAAATATTTTCCTTTAATTAGCAATTTCATATAAAACAAAGTCAAACAAATACTAAAAAATAAATGATTTTTTTGAATTTTTTTTGGCAATGGAAACAAATTTCATTCCCAATGTCAGTCAAAATCTATCCCTTTAATTGACAATTTTCATGTAAAATAAAACCAAATGAATACCAAAAAACACTTTTATTTCAATATTTTCCACGTAGAAAATTATATCAATCAAACACAATAATTTATAATTCTCGAGAAATAATTTTTAGGCAATTCAATTCCCTGTAATTCGTTTTCTTTCCACGTAAATTTCATCTTTGCAATTAAACGGATCATTAGTGTCAAACTCAATCATTCGAGAAGAAAAGGACATAATTACTCGGTGGAATTGGAATGAGTCAAAACGGCATCTTTGACTGACACGGTAAAATGAGTGGCTTGGATTCGGACATTGACTTAAGGAACTTTACTGGTGGAGTTCTCATTGTGAGTTCCCATTTTCTCTTTGGAAAATTTTCATTTAATGCGAACAATATTAGTCACCGTCTCTTCATTGATCCCATTAGTCAATTCATTGTTATAAGTACTGAAATTGATTATAAAGTCAATTTAATATTATTGAGAATAACTCTGTTTGTTATCTAAATAATAGTAGGAGGAAGTGTTTGTATAGCATCAAAAGGTACTGTACATGTACGATCCCTTTATTGTGCTATGGAGTCCGCATTTTTTTTAATGAGGCGAGCCCCCCGATGGGAGGGGCCTGTAAGCCGTGCTGTATGTTAAGTTGTGCACACAGCATAGCTCATAATATTAAGCGCACGAATGGATTTCATTTTTTAGGTTAGAATGTATTTTGAAATAGTAAATTTATGAAAAATGTGTGGTTAAAAAATGGAGAAAAATTTTAAATTGTATGTAATATTTTTTTATTGAAAAGAAGAGATCAAAATTTTTATTTTGAAAAAAAATGGAAATCAAACAAGGGCTAAGCCCTCCTTGTAAGAAAAAGCAATTTTTTAGAAAATGTGACATTAAAAAGTAGTGAAAGTTTTGAGTTTGCATACAAGATTATTTATTTGAAAAATGAGTTTTAAAGAATGAAACTCGAAGTAATTCTATAATACCATAAGGAATCCGGGTTTTGCTAAGTGCCTGTTTGATACAAGCTAATTCCATGAAAATTTCATGTTCCACCCATTTTGTCTTGTTTGATGGACAATATTTTTTCATGGAATTTGGTTTCTACCCTAGCCCCCACGTAACCCTTTTTCTTTGTTTTTAAGGAAATTGTTTTCCATTGGTTTTGGTGGGAAATTGTTTTCCATCTTTTTTTTTTTTGAAATGGAAACAAACTCTATTCACAACTGTAACAAAATATATTTCTTTAATTGACAATTTTCATGAAAAACAAAACCAAACGAACATAAAAAGATACAAACCTTCCACATTTTTTAAGTGAAAAATTATACCAATCAAATACATTTAATTGAGAATTCCCAGTAAAACAAGTTCAAGGCAATTTAATTTCATATTTCCATCCAAATTTCATCATTGCCATCAAACGAACCCTAAATTTCACGTAACAAGTTTTGTGTTGAGCCTTAGAATCCGTTTGACATGACTTTTAGACACATTTAATTACTTTTAAAAAATTGCATTATCTACTGATAAAATTTTAGAGAAAACTGCTCTGGTTTCCACCTCAAGTAGTAATTTTACCATTTTATCCAACTCCAACAATAATGGAACTAAAATTCAGTAATAGCTGATTTTCAACTTTATCTTTCAAAGCCTTCTAGATTTAGCAGAGGGAGAAGAAAATAAGGCCATTGGCACAATTTTCATGGCGAATTCCATTTTCCATCAATTTTGTGTGTTTGATAGCAAAAGTTTTTCATGGATTCGTTTTCCATCTTTTTCCCCACACACCTTTTTTATTTTTATTTTTATTTTTATTTTTAGCAATGAAACAAATTTTAGGAACAACTGTAAAAGAGGATGTCCTTTAAATTGATAATTTTCATATAAAATAAAGCCAAACGAACACTAAAATATAGATATTTTTGGATTTTTTTTTGAACAATAAAAATAAATTCGAAAAATAATCTCTTAAATTAACAATTTTCATAAAAAATAAAACCAAACGTACACCAGTGAAACTACTGGACCCACGTTACATGCAAGTCAAGGTTGTTCCTGTTTTGTAAGAAAAAATTGGTTTGACTTTTAACCTTTTGCATGGTCTTGCATATCATTCTTTGAATGATACAATGCTACCTAATCAACTTTGGTTAAAGTAGTTTGATTTAACTTTATAACTTATTTAAAATAATTCATTTGTTAAAGTAGTTCGATTTAGCTTTACAATTAGAATTTTGACAACTAAAAATTTTAGTTAGTTGAAAATGGGTCAACTAATAGAAAAAAAACAAAGGTCAAATGTTGCAAATTCGCATTACGTTATGATTTAATTATTATTAAATGGCTTACAAGCCTATTTGCGCCCCTTTTTTTAAGAAAAAATACATTTTGAAATAGTGATTTGATAGATAATGTTTAGTTAAACAATAAGAAAAGTTTTGAATTTGCTTTTATACTTTAAATTTCACGTTTTAATTGTACTAAGATGCAGTGTCACGTACTAACATGCATCCGTTTTACATTGAAACTGATTATTTACTTTGAGACCAGAACCATGAAAAATGGACCAAGCCTAACCAATTGACGAGCAAATCAAGTCCCTCTCAGCTTGGTCGATTGCCATTACTACTAGCCTATGACTTGTTACCAAATGCATAAATCTATTTTCAGATTAGTTAGGTCTAAAAAAATCTTATCAGTATTAACCAATCAATTGTCGATGAAGACAATAATATATTATTAATTTAATCTTAGTTTATTAATGTTACTAAGGTTTGACATAATAATGATTGGTATAAACCGTACATAAATTTTTCCAAGCTTGAAAAAATATGAAAGCAAACTTAAAAGCGCGTTCTTCATTAGTGATAAATCTTCCAAGTAATTTTGCCATAAAAAAATCTTCCAAGTAATTTTGACTTCATAAATTCTTCCTCTCTTCTAGAAATGGATCAGTCCAAAGATGCCAAGATGAAAAGAAATATAAACATATTGTCCAAAATATCTTTGGTCACTAAAAGAAAAATAGAAAATAATAAAAATAACTTTGAGTAAGCCTTTTTTATCAATAAATTTAAAGTAGACAAATATAGAAAGGAGGGAAAATTGGTGACTCTAGCTAATTGTATATTATAGCCAAGTCTTGGTTCTTTTCTTCACATTTTCCCCATGGAAAGATGGACTTCATAG